GGTTGGTTAGGTTCGGTCATATAACTACGTTAATTTTAACTCCAATAAAAAAAAATTGACCTCATGCATAATGAAATGGGTAGATTTATCATTTCATAAGAAAAAAATTAGAGAAAATATATTATTTCAGGAAAACTTGGCTTATTAGGCAAATCGGGACTTGCATAGTAGGCTGAGAAGTGCATTCTGGCTACTAGGTACGACATATATATATATATATATATATATATATATATATATATATATATATATATATATATATATCTGCCTGTAGTTTTTCATTGTCTTCTACAGTGGCAATTTTTATGCTGATTTTTGTATCTGCAAAGGATGACACGAAGCTGTGTCTAATATTTTTGTCTATATCAGAGATAAGAATGAGAATAGCAATAGTGCAAGGACTGTGCCCTGGGGTACACAACTTTTCACTGCACTTGGGCTTGATCTTACTTGATTGACCGTCACTCACTGCATTCTGTTTGCCAGAAAGTTGAAAATCCAACGCCCCCACTGTACCCGTTATTCCTATTTGTCTCATTTTATGGGCTATCACTCCATGGTCACATTTGTCGAATGCCTTTGCGAAATCTATGTATACAACATCTGCATTTTGCTTTTCCTCTAAGGCTTCTGTGATTCTTTCACTGTTAAATAACTGTGAGAGACATGATCTTCCCGCTCTAAACCCATGTTACCCTGGGTTCTGAACTTCATTATTTTCCATAAAACTGGAAATTTGATTCCTAATCACTCTTTCAAAAACGTCCAAAGTCGTTTCGTTCTATTTTCTATTTCGACCAAGACTATTCGGTCCTTTGTACGAGGTAGGGAGTGGGGGGAGGGAGTGATTATACTCTGACATAGGAGCCGGGAAGATGATTATACTCCGTGGGGGACACAGATGAGTATGTTCTGCTTGGGACACTGCGTGTAATTTGACTGCTGAGCACAGGTACGTATGTTTCGCTTGGGACATTAAAGAGGTGGGGCTCTAGGAACCCGAATCCTCATTACGGGGAACCTGGGAGTCAGTATACTCATTATAGGACACTGGGAACAGTATACTCAATACAGGACACTGGGTAACAGTATACTCAAAACAGGAAATAGACAGTAAACTCAATTTGGGACACTTGAGGACAGTATACCCCAATATGGGAGACTTCAGGATAGAATACTCAATATTATAGGACATTGCAAGACCGTATACCACTTCTGGGACGCCAATATACTCAAGAATACTTTTAAAGTTCAACCAAATCTAACGAAAAGTTGCACACACCTCTGAAGGTCATGCATGAATAAAAGCTACGACAGAAATGCAGTTCCTCACATCTCCTGTGCCAGGTAAGTCCGCTACGGGCTCACCATAGCCCGTGTTACTTGCCCCGCTCCTGTGCCAGTAAGTCCACTACGGGCTCACCATAGCCCGTGCTACTTGCCCCGCTCCTGTGCCAGGTAAGTCCACTACGGGCTCACCATAGCCCGTGCTACTTGCCCCGCTCCTGTGCCAGGTAAGTCCACTACGGGCTCACCATAGCCCGAGCTACTTGCCCCGCTCCTGTGCCAGGTAAATCCACTACGGGCTCACCATAGCCCGTGCTACTTGCCCCGCTCCTGTGCCAGGTAAGTCCACTACGGGCTCACCATAGCCCGTGCTACTTGAAACTTTCTGTTCCGAGTAGCTGAATCTAAAACAACAACGCAGTTTCTGTGCCAGGTGGAGAGATCATACCAATCAGCATCATGTGCCAATCAGTTGAGCAGGAACCACAGCCGCTGCACCCAATCAGGAAGTAGTCACCAATGATAATATGAAAATGTCTGATGTGAATATGTCACCCTCGGCAGCTCACGACAACCTCCACTCGACAGATTTTCTCACAAATTTTCGGACCAAAAAATAACAGTGAGAAAAAGCACGTAGGATATAATAGAGTCCTTAGCCACAGTCCAGGACACAGGCTGCTGTAGGCGGGTCCCGGGAGTAATGTCTTAGAGATATGCTTGGTCAGTGGTCCGCTCACTCCTAAGGTCCTGCTGTGCTGAAGATGAATGACGCTAGGCTTGCTGCTACGCTGAAGATGAGCAGCACTAGGCTTCCTGCCACATTGAAGATGACCAGCACTAGGCTTCCTGTCACACTGAAGATGAGCACCACTAGGCTTCCCACCACACTGAAGATGAACAGCACTAGGCTTCCTGTCACACTGAAGATAAACAGCACTAGGCTTCCCACTTACCGTTTTGGGGGACTAATTCTTGGTACCGTACCTCGCTTCTCCAGTCAGTCTACTAACCAACTATTACCACAAAATCTTGTAAGGACTAAATTTTAACGTGTTTTCCTCCACATTTTTCCTTCAGTTATATATTCACAATTTGTCTAGATATCACAGTGAAAATACCTACACAGTTTTTTTTTAATATAACGGCATTTTTTTTACCTTCAAAAGTAAGACACTTATTCTAATATATATAGATTCAGACGGGCAAAATATCCACCTTGAAAACGTGACGCGCGCGGATATTCAACACATACTCAAGATGAATTACATCTTATCTTGACGTTATCTTGACATGATTTCGGGGCGTTTAGTGTCCCCGCGGCCCGGTCCTCGACCAGGCCTCCAACCCCAGGAAGCAGCCCGTGACAGCTGACTAACACCCAGGTACCTATTTTACTGCTAGGTAATAGGGGCATAGGGTGAAAGAAACTCTGCCCATTGTTTCTCGCCGGCGCCTGGGATCGAACCCAGGACCACAGGATCACAAGTCCAGCGTGCTGTCCGCTCGGCCGACCGGCTCCTATATATCTCTTGAGAGAATATATAATGTATCACGAGAGCGCTCTACGATCTTCGTATTTCCTGGGGACAGATTCCACGAAGCAGTTACGCAAGTACTTACGAACGTGTACATCTTTCCTCAATCTTTGACGGCTTTGGTTACATTTATTAAACAGTTTACAAGCATGAAAACTTGCCAATCAGCTGTTGTTATTGTTATAAACAGCCTCCTGGTGCTTCTGAGCTCATTAACTGTTTAATATTTGTAAACAAAGCCGCCAGAGATCGAGGAAAGATGGACAGGTTCGTAAGTGCTTGCTTAACTGTTTCGTGAATCTGGCTCCTGGTGATTATCTTTCAATCTGTAACCCGTGTGTCCGCTTATCTGCCGCATCTACCTTCACAAGTCACACTTAAGTGCTACACTGCAACAAACTCAATTTGCATCGAGTGCTTTAATCAATATTGCTTTATATTGATTTATCTATAATACAATACTATATTAAACAATACAGTACTAAGCACTCAAAGAGTATCTGATCCTGATATATACCTTATCACGTATAAAACGCAGATTAATAGATTGAAATGTATGAAGGCTTTTTTTTTACATTTATATGGTTATTGCCATATAAACTATTACTATCGGAATATATACAATGATTAATTGTATACATATATACATTAATATATACAATGATTAATTGTATTATATTCCCGTAATCACATGATCCACACACATAGCAATACAAAAATTACTGTAGCCTCTGCTCAAGCCGTGATGGGTAAATTATGCACTAAAAACCTCAATTAAAAAATTGATTTTGTCTGTAAAGAATCGTATATTCACCCCCCCCCCCCCCCATCGTGAGTATGAACAGTATTCCTTTGGAGTGTTCCATGGATGTTCTAAAACGTGACTTAAGGCAGATCCCTGCACTACAAGGAGAGACAATTTTACCTGCATGATGGGGTTCTGGGAGTTGTTCTACTGCCCAAGCCCGGCCTCAACCTGAGTCCTGTTAACACAGCCCCGCTCCTGTGCCAGTTAAGTCCACTACGGGCTCTCCATAGCCCGTGCTACTTAGAACGTTTTGTTCCCAGTAGCTACATCTAAATACAACAACAGTAGTCTTGTTAAATGCTGTGAACAGTTTCTGCACAAGAGGTGAATGTTCACTAGTTACTGACGCAATGAGTGAATGGTCTGATATTATTGAACGCCAATATTGAGTGACGTCACTCAGGTTATTCAACATACAGGTGAATAAGGCCATGAGGAGAGAAGGTACGAATGTTGCTGTGGTGGAGACTTCGTGTATAGAACCAATGAGTAAATGGAGAGTATAAGTTTGTATTTATGTAGATGAGGCATATAGTTACTCACTCCGAGTTACCGAGCGAGTGCCGATCAGTACTCATGGCGGGAAGCATACAACACTACTCACCTTATTAACTACTCACCTTACTAACTACTCACCAATACATGTATACACGTATTACAATTATACAATCTACAAGAGTTATCTGGCCACAATGACAATACAGCATTAACATTGCTCAACCCATTCCAAGGTTCCTACTCTATAATACAATACAATGCACTAACTAAATGAATGAATAAATGTTGACTAAATGACTGATTAGGTAACAAATTGGGGTGATTAGCGGAGCATCAATTCTTGAATCTTGACCCCGAGGTCATATCCACGTCACTGTAATGGTCCTAAATGTCTCCCAAGACTGTGGGGGGCGGGACACTATGATAATTGGGAAGACACGTCAGAAGACAACCCCGGGATGGCGAAGAACAATGAGTAAAAATGTAATTGATCAAGCAAAGGCATGCAGGACAAAAATGGATGATAATCATTCCGAAAAAAATGTCAAATGTGGATTGGTGGATGGTGGAGCTTGGGAATTGGGGTGGAGGGGTGTTTGGAGGGGGTGTATGGGGTGTTAGGAGGGGGTGTAGGGGTGTTAGGAGGGGGTGTAGGGGTGTTAGGAGGAGGTATATGGGTGTATAGGGTGTAGGGGTGTTAGGAGGGGGTGTATGGGGTGTAGGGGTGTTAGGAGGGGGTGTATGGGGTGTAGGGGTGTTAGGAGGGGGTGTAGGGGTGTTAGGAGGGGGTGTATGGGGTGTTAGGAGGGGTGTATGGGGTGTAGGGGTGTGTAGAGGCGAGTGGAAGAAGGACGCGAGAGTGTACTTACTGCGGTGTACTGAGTGTCTTCATGGCGTCTCTGGGCGCTGGAGGGGGCGTGCCCATCAGACGCTCCCGCGGGGGGGAGTCTGGGGGCAGGGGCGGCGCCTCGGTGGGTGGGGCGCCCACCTCCGAGGGCGTGGGTGGGGGTGGCAGAGGCTCGTCGCTGGGCACCACCTCATCTTCCGTGACAGGCGGGGGCGGAGGCGGTGGCAAGTCCGGGGTGGAGGAGCGGGAGGTGGGACTCGTGGGCGGCGCCAGATGGGCGGCGTGGGTGGGAGACGCGTGGAGGCGTGGGTGTCTGGGGGAGCCTGGGGTAATGCCGCCCGTGGGAGAGGCTTCAGGAGACTTGGGAGGATCTGGCGCGGGCGGCTTGCGGTAGTAATATGGGCGGGCGGGAGACATAGTGCGCAGCTCGGTAGCGGATTCTTCTATCCTGCGCAGGTCTGTCTCCCCCTGCGGGGTGGTGTTGAGACCGCGGGTAGCGGAGGTGGGGCTGGACCCCGCCTCCGCGGTCGGTCCGTGGAACAGAGACCGCAAAGTTGGCTTTTTGGGCGGGCGTTCGGGCGGGCGCGGGGGCGGGTCATCGTGAGTGGGCGGGGGCAAGGAGGGCGGTCTGGGCGGGTCGATGTGGTTGGTAAGGAGCGTGTCAGAGCCGCCCCCGTCAACCAGGCCGCGGGTGGAGGCGAGGGTGGAACTGCAACAGACAATGGCTACATTAACACTACAGCGCTGGCTACAGCCTACTGCTCTAGCCGAGAGCCTACTGCTCTAGCCGAGAGCCTACTGCTCTAGCCGAGAGCCTACTGCTCTAGCCGAGAGCCTACTGCTCTAGCCGAGAGCCTACTGCTCTTCACTGCTCTACCAGTAAAGCTTGGACACTGTCCTGCCCATCAAGCACAAACACACACACAAGCCTCATTAACCAAATGCCTTGTAAATACACAACAAACTACACTAAATATACACACCATAGCAACACAAGCCGTATGAGAAATACAATTAATACACACACATCAAGCAACACACTACTGTATAATTTACTACACAAAAAATATACCCTTTTAAGAGGAAAAAAAATCTATATATTTTTATAGGTACGATTAGCAAGCAAAAACTGCCGAGAACTTTCCCCTCGAGGGAAAAAATGTAACAATTCGCTATGTAACACAATTTTTGTCCCTGGGGTAGAATGTGTTATTTTCTGATTAATTATCACTCCAAAGTACAGGAAATGGATATCATTCTCCTCAAAACATTGCTTTAACTTTTGCCTCAACTCGAGTACAACTCAAGGAAGATGTGAAGACTAAAAATCACACACCAATAGATGAGACGACGACGTTTCGGTCCTACAATCGACTTGATAACGGTCCAGGACGGACCGAAACGTCGTCGTCTCATCTGATGTGTGGTCTGGTCATCAGATCTTCAGCCACGTTATTGTGGCTCGTCGTCTGCTCAAGGAAGATGTCTTGGAGGCCGCCGACTCCTTACCCAGAGCTGTAATAGGCACAGCTGTCAAGGCAACGGTCAAGGCAACGGTCAAGGCAACCTTTCAAAGGAATAAAATGCATTTTCTATACTTTGGAGGCGTCAGTAATTAGACAAAACAAAGCAATACCATACTAAACAGGGACTAGACTATGTAACAGTGAAGTGAATTCGTGTGTGTCTGTATGTGTCTGTCTGTCAACAAGAAGGCACCTACTGGACCTCACTGCCTATGGGACTTAAAACACCATCAACGGACTCCAAGTCCGGCTACTCCATCACATCGAATGTCACCCCCCCCCCCCCACGCACCAAGGACGCAACGTCCAGCGTTACAAGCAAGTCACCCGCAGGAGGGCGGTGATAGCACCAGGCGCCCCTAACGACTCTCTCAAGACACTCTCTCTCTATAAACCACACACTTCAATACACCACCAAACAACCCATTACCGAGGCGTCCCCGCCAGATGTGAACCACCGGTGTAAACTAACTTGCCGTTGTGACTGATAGCCGGATTTTTTTTCCTAATTTTTTTTTTAACTTTCACACGATTTGGTAACGATTTGAGGTATTTTGGAAAGCGGGTCGTATTGGAAATCTTCTAAATGAATGTAGGAGAAAAGCCACTAAGTGCCGGATAGAAATTGAAATAAGTTTATTGAGGTGTAAATACACATAAAAGGGATGAGGTAGCTCAAGCTATTCTCACCCCGTTCAGTACAACGTGTTCATACATATATATACACACACACACATCACAAACAATAAACATATTACCGAACATTCTGAGTGGTAAACATATACATTTCTTCCTTTACACTAGTATGTTACCAGACGTACTCACAAATACTTTTATGGACTAGGTCAAAATTTGGAATAGACATTCAGACAATTCAACAAAAGGTTACAATCTTGGTGCAAAATTCTTATATCTCCCCCCAGAATATCATCAACCTTTCCGTTGCGACACATTCAGCCTATCTGCTCAGGAACAGTCCTTATCTCAGTGTTTCTATATACATTAATCAACGGACAATCAAGAACATAATGGGTGAGAGAGTGAGACCTTAACATACCACTTCGTTTCAGTTTCATTAACCACCATTGACCCCAAGTATGGGGGCCACCCCATACCCATCCCGTGGGCGGTAGTGCACCCCCATACCCATCCCGTGGGCGGTAGTGGACCCCATACCCATCCCGTGGGCGATGGTGGAAAAGGTTACAGAAGCACATAATCAACTCTGGAACTGAACCACAAAATTCATTAACTAAGCAGTTAACAATCTTGCTAAGCTAGTAGGGAAATGTTGTCACTTTCCTCCCTTTCATAACCTAGGATACGATAACCCATGGTGTGGGCGAGTGGCTGACAGCTGGCTAGAGTATACTAGCAAGATAACTGTCATCTGAAGTGATATGACAGAATTGGGGCGCCGTCTCTCACCGTCTACATATATATAGGACCTCATAGGACCTTATAGAACCTCATAGGACCTTATAGAACCTCATAGGACCTTATAGGACCACACAGGACCTACACAGGACCTACCACAAGCGTCAGACCAATCATGGAGTATGTGGCACCAGCGTGGCGTCCCAGACCAATCCTGGGACATGTGGGATACCTGCTTGATGGGGTTCTGGGAGTTCTTCTACACCCCAAACCCTTAATAGGTACCCTTAAAAGGTACTCTGGGAGAGAGCTCTCTCAGAGTACCTATTGCGGAAATTTGACCGCGTGCAAAATTCTCTTGGAAATTGATAGGGCAGACAATGCCAGATTGTTTAACATGCCTCGGAGCCACAGAGGCATCGTCATAAATGTGTTCACTGTTCAAGAAGTTAACAAACTGGACGAACTGAGTTAAGTGATGGAAACAGCTTAGCTTTGAAGCAGTTTTGAAGCACATACAGCTTCATATGTAGATATAATATAGCCCAATAGGCTCAGGAACCTGTATATCAGCTGATTAAAAGTTAAGAGGCGGAACCCAAGCCGAAAAAAAGGTTCAACACCCTCAACCACAATTGTGGTGAACATACATACGATTAAAATAAGAGAGTCTACCGTTAACGTTTTCTGTGTTTGATCGCCGTGCGAGAACGGAGAATCAAGGGTATCCTCCTTTAAAATTTTAAGTCAGCCATACCTCACTGCAATTAATAATAATAATAATTCAATTTGTCTGGGGACAGCTAGCCAGAGTTTATACATACACGGTAGTTTTATATCGAGGTCCCTTCCTTCCCAAGGTCGAATTACTGACCCTGACTTGGATGCAACAAGCCGACTAACGCCTTGGGTATCCATACTTACTGCTAGGTGAATGGGTGCATTAGGTGAAAGGAAATGTGCCCAACCCTTTCTGTTCTGCCTGGGATTCGAACCCGGGATTCTCGATTGTGAGTCGAGAATGAACTCCACTGTACTACCGAGATCCTTAATAATACTATTAATAATAATAATAGTAATATTAATATAGGTAATATCTCCCACGTCTTATCTCCCACGTCTTATCTCCCACGTCTTATTTCCCACGTCTTATCTCCCACGTCTTATCTCCCACGTCTTTCCAGGGGTGTAAATTAAGTTTTATTTCGACCTTTACATATGGAAGGTGGCCGTTCCCCCCCCCCCCCCCCCCGGATTAACTGGGTCTTTGTATGCTTCACAATTTACATACAATACAATCCTTGTCCGTGAACAGTGTTGTCTCAAGATGAAGATAAGCAAAGTGGTGTCTCACAAGGTCAAGATATACCTGGAACATACCTGAAGAGGATTTCGAGAGTTCTATCGAGGCAAGATAATTCATTGATGAAGATTAAGCCACCCTAGAGGTGGCACGGGCATGAATAGCCCGTAAGAGTAGGTTATCTTGAGGTTAGAGTAAGATAACGTTGAAGAACACCTCGAGATGGTTCCGAGGATCAATGTCTCCGCGGCCCGGTTTCTGACTAGGCAGATTCATTGACTATTATTATTAATGCTTTAAGATATTAATCCCAGTCACCTTACTTCTTACTGCTATGCCTTGTTTTCTTGGGTTTAAATCCCTAGTCGCCAGAAATCCCAGATCGTTTGTAGAATCAGATTAAGTCATTCCAATGTTGTTCACTCGGTACTTGAATCCAGTGAATTCTTTCCCTATTAAACAGAAGAAAATACAAAATAACTGGCAGTACCAATTGTAGAATTGAAGAAAGAAGAACAGACGCCGCCTGTCGACGTTGAAACAACACGTTATAGCAAAAGAAAAAGAAGGGCAACAAGACATAAGACTGAGGAACTGTGACAGTTAAAAACAGAAACGAGATTAGAACCAAAAAACTAGTCCCGTATGGCCTTCCCGCCAGGCGTCACGCGCCGCCACCGGCCGCCACAATAGCTAAAGGTGGTCCCCCACGAGGACCCAAATTCAGTCCCCTAAGGGGACCATCTTTAGCCTCCCGGGATGTGTGGGGTCCCAAGACCTAACGGCACACTAATTCCGGCTGTTGAAGCAACCTGTCCTCTTAAAAAGAACGTCGCTTTTGGCCGTTTACCCGTATGGCCGAATATGGACGTAATTTGAAAATGAAAAAAAATTAATATAAATTTGGGATTTTTTTTCAACAACAGCAAGTTAAGGGTCTTCTGATAGGTTAGGTGGGCAGGAAATTCTCAAAAAGTTTCAAAACGGTATGAAAAACGTTAATGGAAAGAATCCTAAGCTTGCCGAGTAAGCCGGACGACTCAAACAGAAAACGGAACAGTACGTCACTTTTGTGAGTCGATTTTATTTCAAATTACGTCCAAATTTGGCCATAGCGCGCATACCAGCCAAAAGTGACGTTATTTTTAAGAGGACGGGTTGGTTGGAGACATGAAGCCTCTGTGTATATATGCAATGAAATCGCGGTAACGTGATTTACCTACCACTAAGGAAAATCAAACTACAGGCGGACATATACAACAGCGTCTTCAACTAGTGGTTCACATATATAGGATGTAACACTAGTGAACATCACGACTGACTTCAGAAAACCTCGAGAAGAAATTCAGAACATTGCGCATGTTGACCAGACCACACACTAGAAGTTGAAGGGACGACGACGTTTCGGTCCGTCCTGGACCATTCTCAAGTCGATTGTGGTCTGGTCAACATACTTCAGCCACGTTATTGTGACTCATCGCCTGCATTGCGCATGTTGTTGTTTAAGATTTGCTACTTGGAACAAAAAGTTCCAAGTAGCACGGGCTATGGTGAGCCCGTAGAACACTGTACAGTCCTAGAGTATGTAATGCATCGGATTCCTTGTGTTCAGAGGCACATACGGAAGCTTAAAAAAGGCTCATGCTAGGTTAGTCCCAGAATTATATTAAAGAGGGTGCAAAAAACAAAAAATATTGAAGCTTGATCTAACCACACTAAAATAAATAAAGGAGAGGAGAAATGAGGAATATATAAAGCTACCAATTGTACCAATACGAACATTGCGTCCAGGATGCTCCCGGACGCAGGTTCGAATCCTTGTCACGGCCCTTGTGGATTTGTTCTAGCAATTGTACCCAGGTGATTTGAAGTTACAGCCCCGCTCCTGTGCCAGGTAAGTCCACTACGGGCTCACCATAGCCCGTGCTACTTGGAACTTTTTGTTCCAAGTAGCGAATCTTAAACCACAATCACCCAGGTGATGCCTTTGGCCGACCTGTGGCGCCACTGACTAGTGCCAGAATCTATTTGTTTCCATTCTAACACAGCGCTCACCAACACCGTAGATCTTTACTACACACGAGCCCTACTTACTACACACAATTGTTACTACTCTACTCTACATCACAGAGTGAAGAGCTACAATGCATACAGCATACAATTTACACTATAAACGATTCTCATTCCACCCGATCATTATTCTCAGTCTTCACTAAGCACGATAAGATGACAACCTTCACTCGAGTACTCGACATACTCCATTATGCAGGAAGAAACATATAAGGATACACTCGCCCTAGAAACATAAGCCAACAAAAATAATAATCAAAAGAGGATAGCAAATAAATGTGTACTGGCATCATTAAATATCACCAGACTAGGCTACCCCCCCCCTACCCCCTGACCCCCGCCCCTAGTTGTGGTACTCCCAATATTACCACACTAGGCTACCAAACCTAGCTCGGTTGATTAAGGCAGCGTCTGAGGAGCCTCTTGCACGTAGGTTCGAACCCTCGTCACGGCCCTCGTGGATTTGTTCATTTGATGCATCAAGCTATTGTGATTTCACGACCACCTGCCGGTGGAGATATAGAGCCCCGCCCCTAACACGACCTTCCTGCGGCGTGCACCTCTAGTCAGCGACCACCACCAGGTGGACCACCATACCCAGAAATGGTATGGGTCGAGGAGGCTCCGCTCCTGTGCCAGGTAAGTCCACTATGGGATCACCATAGCCCGTGCTACTTGGAACTTGGTGTTCCCAGTAGCTGAATCTAAAACAACAACTTTCCAAGAGACAAACATTGGCGCCAGGAGTGTCACAGGTGAAGGTGAGAGCAGGTGTCGTGGGGAACCTGCAAGGACACCTTACACTCACAGACCTCCACCCGTCACTCTCAGACCTCCACCCGTCACTCTCAGACCTCCACCCGTCACTCACAGACCTCCACCCGTCACTCTCAGACCTCCACCCGTCACTCACAGACCTCCACCCGTCACTCTCAGACCTCCACCCGTCACTCTCAGACCTCCACCCGTCACTCTCAGACCTCCACCCGTCACTCTCAGACCTCCACCCGTCACTCACAGACCTCCACCCGTCACTCACAGACCTCCACCCGTCACTCACAGACCTCCACCCGTCACTCTCAGACCTCCACCCGTCACTCTCAGACCTCCACCCGCCACTCTCAGACCTCCACCCGCCACTCTCAGACCTCCACCCGCCACTCTCAGACCTCCACCCGCCACTCTCAGACCTCCACCCGCCACTCACAGACCTCCACCCGCAGACCTCCACCCGCCACTCGCAGACCTCCACCCGCCACTCGCAGACCTCCACCCGCCACTCACAGACCTCCACCCGCCACTCTCAGACCTCCACCCGCCACTCACAGCCCTCCACCCGCCACTCGCAGACCTCCACCCGCCACTCGCAGACCACCCGCCACTCACAGACCTCCACCCGCAGACCTCCACCCGCCACTCTCAGACCTCCACCCGCCACTCACAGACCTCCACCCGCAGACCTCCACCCGCCACTCTCAGACCTCCACCCGCCACTCTCAGACCTCCACCCGCAGACCTCCACCCGCCACTCTCAGACCTCCACCCGCCACTCGCAGACCTCCACCCGCCACTCGCAGACCTCCACCCGCCACTCACAGACCTCCACCCGCAGACCTCCACCCGCCACTCTCAGACCTCCACCCGCCACTCACAGACCTCCACCCGCAGACCTCCACCCGCCACTCTCAGACCTCCACCCGCCACTCACAGACCTCCACCCGCAGACCTCCACCCGCCACTCTCAGACCTCCACCCGCCACTCACAGACCTCCACCCGCAGACCTCCACCCGCCACTCGCAGACCTCCACCCGCCACTCTCAGACCTCCACCCGCCACTCGCAGACCTCCACCCGCCACTCTCAGACCTCCACCCGCCACTCACAGACCTCCACCCGCAGACCTCCACCCGCCACTCTCAGACCTCCACCCGCCACTCACAGCCCTCCACCCGCCACTCACAGACCTCCACCCGCCACTCACAGACCTCCACCCGCCACTCACAGACCTCCACCCGTCACTCACAGACCTCCACCCGTCACTCACAAGCTTCTAAACTAGCTGAACCTTTGAACAACATGAGCCCTACAAAACCCACAAGTCATTCACAAGATTTAATCTCATCTTACACTACCAGTTGTTACTACTCTCAGGCCTTCAGCTTCACCACCTGCTGAAGTAGTTAGGACCAATAGTCAACAGAACTATTCAGAATTTTGAGATCATTTTATCGAAAATGTTCAAATGAGTATTTAATTCAAAATGGGGTAGCAGAAATTTTTAACCAAATACTGTAAACTCTCCACCGCCGCCCATCTTGAGGTTATCTTGAGGTTATCTTGAGATGATTTCGGGGCTTCAGTGTCCCCGCGGCCCGGTCCTCGACCAGGCCTCCACCCCCAGGAAGCAGCCCGTGACAGCTGACTAACTCCCAGGTACCTATTTACTGCTAGGTAACAGGGGCATTCAGGGTGAAAGAAACTTTGCCCATTTGTTTCTGCCTCGTGCGGGAATCGAACCCGCGCCACAGAATTACGAGTCCTGCGCGCTATCCACCAGGCTACGAGGCCCCTATGTTGGGGTTGGGTATATATAAATGTGTAACTGGCTCAGCACAGATGTAAATTGCTCGGTTTAGACTCCTTTAGTTCAGTTCTTGAACCAACTGTGCTCTTAAATTTTTTTTATATTAACTGCGTAACCAGCCTATCAGATTATAACTTGCTTTGTTAAAATGAATCTTGGGAGTCAGTCCCTGAGCCCATATTATGTGCCTAATTAACCTTTTCCACTACAGCCTATGAAATAGGTATGGGGGAGTTATACCCCCCATCTAAAAACCTTTGCAAGCAGCCCAAACTCCCACTGGGTAATCAAGCACAAATTACTTGCTATATTCAACCACCTTTACCCTCCTCACAACCACAATTCAATTACAAGCAACTTTCCTCGTCGCCAGCAAGACCACCACCACCACCTGGAGCGGATAATCCTCAAAGGGGTAAAAAAATTGGACTACAAAGGTCACCCCGTCTTTTCAATACCACCAGCAGCAGCGGTCGACAAAATAACTCAGTTTTATGACTGTGAAAACCGTATATATAAATCGTTAGGTTAGGATGTTCAGTTTAGCTAAGTCTGTGTTAAGCTCGGGGTGGATTTGATTAGGTTAGATTGGGTAAGATTAGAAGGTTTTACAATCCGTTGTCTTGCGTACGCTATGTCAACAGAACATAGATCAGTGGACGGTAGGCCGAGTTAAGTTACTCCTCCAGCGTTGATCTCCCATTTTCTTTACCTTCCTCTTCCTCCAAATCCCATAATAATACCAAATTATACTTCAATGGGAAGTTCCTGTCAGCCTTTGTCTGTAGGAAACGAGCAATTTGTGCTCTTTTGTTGCATCTTTCAAGGTTAGAGTGTGGTACCAAATGAATAAACAACAACAAATCCACTTTGTTGACCAGACCACACACTAGAAGGTGAAGGGTCGACGACGCATCGACTTGAGAATGGTCCAGGACGGACCAAAACGTCGTCGTCGTCCCTTCACCTTCTAGTGTGTGGTCTGGTCAACATACTTCAGCCACGTTATTGTGACTCCTCGTCTGCAACAAGTCCACAAAAGACCCAAAAATTAAGCAATATTCCACACACACACACACACACACACACACACACACACACACACACACACACACACACACACACACACACACAACAAAATCTACACAAAATAGGCTACCACAATGATAAAAGTATACAGTGTACCACAATGATAAAAGTATACAGTGTACCACAATCTCATAATACCGTATTCAGCAGCAAGTGAAGCGATGCAATACATATGTTGCACAAGAGGCAGCGTGACGCAGGTTAACGTTACACCAAATACCAAACGATCAACAGGTCATACAATGATTTACAGGACCACATACAATGATTTACAGGACCACATACAATGGTTTACAGGACTACAAACTATACAACATGTTACTGTAAATACACTAATGATACAATTAAGAATATATCTTGTAAAAAGGCAACTAGAATACAAACTGATACAATATAAAATCCATACAATTAAGTGAATTCAATTTGAATAAGATACAACGAGGGCCCCAAATCGATAGGCCTAGCCCCAAATCGATAGGCCTATAGTGTACCTGAGGTAGGAGGGCTGGTAGCCCCTGTAGACGCTGCAGTAGCTTGTGAGGGACATGATGAGCCTAGGTGATGATAGGTGAACCTGTGGCCCGCTGCAAGCAACAGCCTGGTGGACCAAACTCTCACAAGTCAAGCCTGGCCTCGGGCCGCTCCAAGCAACAGCCTGGTGGACCAAACTCTCACAAGTCAAGCCTGGTCTCGGGCCGGGCTTGGGGAGTAGAACAACTCCCAGAACCCCATCAACCAGGTAACCCCATCTACACTACACTACACAACCCCAGCTTCCACAGCCCGAAGTTCACCATAATACACACACTCCCTCACATAAAAACACGTTTAAAACTTTTCCATGATGTGAATAAAGGGAAGGGTTGATGGTGTTTCACTTTTAAGACCAGCACGCACTACGGAACACCCGTTCGAGCCCCGCCGTGGTACTGGGAGCCAAGGAGTGTTCACAGTTTCCTTGGAGACCTTCCCCCCCCCCCTCTCACAGCACCTTCAATCCCCCCCCCCCCCAACATCCTCTCCCCCCTCCCCTCCCCCTCGCCCGACACGTTCTTCCCTCTCGTCCCTGGTGAGTCATCCACTACCACTTCTCTGTTCCACTGCTACACACCACTACTCTTCCACATCTGTCAAATTAATTCAGATTTAGAAGAACTAAGAAATGCACAGAGACCTGAAAGCTGCAGTATTAAAAGTTATGACAAGTTCTGTAATAATAGGTATTTGTATGGTCAGCACAGTAACCGGACCAGGCAATGTGATGTAGTAATTGCGCGAATTCGCCTTGGCTATAGACACATCTGGCAGGTTAGTGAGGCTGAGCCACTACCAGAATATTCAGATTGTAAACTCTGTGATAAACCTTTAATGCACTCACTAGAACACTATATTGATGAATGTGAAACCGTAAAGGACTTTAGACCTCCTGGCCTATTGTACCACCAACTGTGTAACTATTTTATTGACTCAGGTGTTCTGGACGACATCCTAACAATTTACCCAAAATTTGCTTGTCCATTTTAAAGAATGAAGAACAATTTCTATTTATATTACTTCTAAGCTGCATCACTTATGAACCCATCCCTGCCCTTGTGTGGCAGTGCACAATAGAAAGTTGTTGTCACATATTCACACATTAAAACATTGATTGTAACCATGATATATATGTGCTTCAGCCTACAGTTTAGACCTATTGTCTTATGTATGACCCTCTGTCCTGCGTGACAGTGAATACTAGCATTAACCTCAATTTAATAAGACTATCAAAATTCTCAGATTAGGCAAAATTGTAATTAATTTTGTCAATAAAGATGTTAATAATAATAATAAACATCTGTCAACTACCTCTACACCGCCACCCGCGCCAACACCGAGAGAAGAACTACCACTAATCATCTACTTCCATGACATTGTGTGTTCCGGGCGCCTGACTCCGCCCTCCTGCAGCCTCTCCTCCTCCACGCCCCTCCCATCCTCTATCCCCCCCTACCCCTTCCATCCTCCATCCCTACCGCCCTCCAAGTGACGTCACAAGGGGGGCTGCCGTTAACAGTGATTGACACAACCCCGCCAAACATACACACCGAAACTACGACGTTTGGTACAAGGTTCGAACAAGTTTTAACACCACCTAACCAGTTATAACAACCAATATAGCAAGTTGTAACAACGTTTTAACACGTCATAAACCCGTTTTAAGCCAAGATGTAACAACTTTATTACAAGTTGTAACAAGCGGGAAAATAGAGAGAGTTTCGGTTTGTGTTTCCAGGGTATATACTCAGTCGCTTTATCAGCCTCAGATATGACAGACGATCTTAGCTCCCTCATTGGTCGAATCTTTCAGCTAAACAATGTTATCAGCGCGCGGTGGACGGAGTACCCACCGGCCACAGATAAACACCGACCTCCCGACAGTATTCAAATACGATAAGACCAGGAAGCAAAGAATTTAAGACGCCAAAATAGATAAGACTGAAAGCTAACGGATACAACAAGGCTAGCAAGCGAGACATGAAGAACTAGACCATTCCCTGTAGACATTGTTAGAGACATACGAGGGTTGCATTGGGGCTACTGAGGTGGTTGGGCAAGTTGTGGGTTATCTTGAGATGATTTCGGGGCTTCAGTGTCCCCGCGGCCCGGTCCTCGACCAGGCCTCCACCCCCAGGAAGCAGCCCGTGACAGCTGACTAACACCCAGGTACCTATTTTACTGCTAGGTAACAGGGGCATAGGGTGAAAGAAACTCTGCCCAATGTTTCTCGCCGGCGCCTGGGATCGAACCCAGGACCACAAGTCCAGCGTGCTGTCCGCTCGGCCGACCGGCTCCATGGATATGGGCGAATGGGTGGATATGGGAAAGTTGAATAGAAATGGGTGTATATGGGGGTTCTTGTAGGGGGAAGGGGGTTTATGTAGGGAAGGGGTTTATGTGGGGGGAGTGGGGGTTGAATGGAAGAATGGAATATATGCAAGGGGAAGGGGGGAGGGGATGATGGACGAGAGTCGAAGGGGGGAGGAGGGGGGGGGGGGGGAATCGTCGGCGGGCAGCCTGTCACCAGGTCCCTGGAGACCTTGATACCTCCCCCCCCCTGCGGAAATCGTTCCACGCCCACCTCCACTACCCCTGCCCTCACGCCCACTACCCTACCACCCCCCCCCCACGCCCCTTTCTCATACGTCACCGCCACACGCCCCCCCCCTCCCCCTCAGCCACATCACAGCCATTTATCATTCACCGCCACTTCTATACACGCCCATTTCACAAAGGGCACAACACGCCCCCCCCTCTCACTTTCACTCGTGCACTGCCCACACACACACCTGCACACTGCCCACACACACCTGCACACTGCCCACACACACACCTGCACACTGCCCACACACACACCTGCACACTGCCCACACACACACACCTGCACACTGCCCACACACACACACCTGCACACTGCCCACACACACACACCTGCACACTGCCCCCACACACACACACCTGCACACTGCCCACACACACACACACCTGCACACTGCCCACACACACACACACCTGCACACTGCCCACACACACACACACCTGCACACTGCCCACACACACACACACCTGCACACTGCCCACACACACACACACACCTGCACACTGCCCACACACACACACACCTGCACACTGCCCACACACACACACACCTGCACACTGCCCACACACACACACACCTGCACACTGCCCACACACACACACACCTGCACACTGCCCACACACACACACCTGCACACTGCCCACACACACACACCTGCACACTGCCCACACACACACACCTGCACACTGCCCACACACACACACCTGCACACTGCCCACACACACACACCTGCACACTGCCCACACACACACACCTGCACACTGCCCACACACACACACCTGCACACTGCCCACACACACACCTGCACACTGCCCACACACACACCTGCACACTGCCCACACACACACCTGCACACTGCCCACACACACACACCTGCACACTGCCCACACACACACACCTGCACACTGCCCACACACACACCTGCATGACACTCCCCTCTTGACCCACGCCAATACACCACAAATACCACTTATTCTGAGTGGTAGGGGACCCCATACCTCTCCTGGGAGTGGTAGTGGACCCCCATACCCCTCCTGAGTGATAGTGGACCCCATACCCCTCCTGGGAGTGGTAGTGGACCCCCATACCTCTCCTGAGAGTGATAGTGGACCCCATACCCCTCCTGGGAGTGGTAGTGGACCCCCATACCTCTCCTGGGAGTGGTAGTGGACCCCCATACCTCTCCTGGGAGTGGTAGTGGACCCCCATACCTCTCCTGGGAGTGGTAGTGGACCCCCATACCCCTCCTGAGTGATAGTGGACCCCATACCCCTCCTGAGAGTGATAGTGGACCCCATACCCCTCCTGAGTGATAGTGGACCCCATACCCCTCCTGAGAGTGATAGTGGACCCCATACCCCTCCTGAGAGTGATAGTGGACCCCATACCCCTCCTGGGAGTGGTAGTGGACCCCATACCCCTCCTGGGAGTGGTAGTGGACCCCATACCCCTCCTGAGAGTGATAGTGGACCCCATACCCCTCCTGAGAGTGATAGTGGACCCCATACCCCTCCTGAGAGTGATAGTGGACCCCATACCCCTCCTGGGAGTGGTAGTGGACCCCATACCCCTCCTGAGAGTGATAGTGGACCCCATACCCCTCCTGAGAGTGGTAGTGGACCCCATACCCCTCCTGAGAGTGGTAGTGGACCCCATACCCCTCCTGAGTGATAGTGGACCCCATACCCCTCCTGGGAGTGGTAGTGGACCCCCATACCTCTCCTGGGAGTGGTAGTGGGCCCCATACCTCTCCTGGGAGTGGTAGTGGACCCCATACCCCTCCTGGGAGTGGTAGTGGACCCCATACCCCTCCTGAGAGAGATAGTGTACCCCATACCCCTCCTGAGAGAGATAGTGGACCCCATACCCCTCCTGGGAGTGGTAGTGAACCCTATACCCCTCCTGGGAGTGATAGTGGACCTCATACCCCTCCTGAGAGTGGTAGTGGACCCCATACCCCTCCTGAGAGTGGTAGTGGACCCCATACCCCTCCTGGGAGTGGTAGTGGACCCCATAACCCATCATGTGAACGTATAAAGTTACATAAGTACATAATGAACGTAGGCACTGAACCCAAAATTGGATTACAATACATTTATCTCTCCAACACCTTTACCCCAACACCCCCTCCCCCCTGCCCCCCACCCTCACAGCCCCCCCCTCCCTCCTACAATTCACAATCAGTGACATGTCTCTCACAATCATTACCTTAACACAAATTGCTCACCGTTCTCTTATAAACACTGAGAGATCAATCTTAAGACTCCCGTTTTCTGTGAAAATTGATGAAGCGAGATTTGGGTGGTTGGATTAATAACGGCTCTAATAGGGGGGTGGAGTGGTGGAACGGTGGGTGGAGGCTGGAAGGGAAGGGACCTATCAGGAGAACGCGCCAAGCCATTACGACTATATAGCACTGGGAAGGGGGGTCAGGATAAGGATTTAGGATGGGACGGGGGGGGGGGGGGGGAGCTTGTCACTAGAATAGAGATGAAACAGGGGGGAGAC